AGAGAGAGAGAGAGAGAGAGAGAGAGAGAGAGAGAGAGAGAGAGAGAGAGAGAGAGAGTTCGAATCCATGTACAACAAACAGAATTTGTATAACTTTGATTCCTTTGGATTTCTGTACGTGTCTACGAATAAAGTGTTTCTCTTCATAATACGATAAAATCGAATATGCCAAAAAGTAATTCCTTCCATGCAGAGAGAGGTACCATTTACCGTGCGTGCAAACCATCGTCTGTACGCCATGACTTTTTGCGATAAGAAGTTTGCAGAAGAAAGTCAGATTTACGAATCGACCGTTGCTTCCACTAATTATAAGCTAGATTTATTCCGGAGAAAAGAGATCGCCGCTTGCTCGTGATATGCTTGAAAGATACTCATCGTATGAATCGTGATTATTAGTAGTAGGTAGCTACTCGACGATGGCGAGTTGTCTGTGATTGCGACACAAAATCTGTTCATTCTTCTCACCTATAGAGTTGGCAGCTCGGCGACTGAGTGTCCTGGTAGATGGCTGTGTCGGGGCTAGCGGCGTCTTGGTACCACTGCGAGTGGCCGACCGCGTTGTTGTGGTTCCTCGAGTTATACTCGGCATGGTCCATGATATATCCGGCCGTCGGGGCGCAATACGGCGTATACATAGTGCCGGGTGGCGAAGCGTTGCCCCTGGAAACGGTGCTGGAGTGGCCATAGCCCGTGGTGGCCATCATCGCAGCGACTGCGGCTGTCGTCGTGGTCGTGGTGGTGCACACGGATGACAGGTCCCTGCTACCGGAGCTGGTCATCGATTCCCTGCTGCTGCCGCTCATGATGGAGTGAGCGTGCGGATGTTGAAGACTGTGCGGGTGCGCGTGAGAATGATGCTGATTGTCGCGAGTCATCAGGCCGCCGGTATTCTCCCGCGTGGTCATGAGGGCGTCGACACTGAAGCTGGCCGGGTCCAGGCCCATCGATACATCCTGTATAGGCTCTTGATGCACCTGATGCGCCTGATGACCCAAGACCGTTTGAATGACGCTCTGACCTGGCGCCGCGACGGCCGTGGTTGCGCTCGCACCCTTGCTCTCGGGTTGTATCGGACTGTGCAAGCCGTATTTGGCTTGCACCGCCATACAGTGATTGCCGCCGGTGTGATCGTTGACCGGCTCTCGTTTCGGCTTGCACAGAGTCGTCTCGAGCTGCTTCTTCGCCGTCGGAGTGTCCGACGGCGGCGGCGGCAGCGTCACTTGGCCGCCGCCGCCGCCGCCGCCGCCGGTCTTACCGTGTTCCTGCTCTTGCCCGCGTTTCTCACCCACGAGACCTTGTCGCTTCAGCGCCTCCTCCTTCTCTTTCAACGCGTCCTTCTTCTTGAAGCGCCGTCGTCGTCTCAGATACGAGCCGTTGTCGAACATGTTGTAGCTGTCAGGGTCGAGGGACCAGTAGCTACCCTTGCCGGGTTTCTTGTCGTCGCGCGGCACCTTGACGAAGCACTCATTCAGGCTAAGATTGTGTCGGATGGAATTCTGCCAGCCTTGCTTGTTCTCGCGATAATACGGAAAGCGCTCCATAATGAACTGATAGATGCCGTTGAGCGTGATTTTCTTGTCGGGTGCGTTCTGAATCGCCATGGCGATCAGCGCGATGTAAGAATACGGTGGCTTCACCATGTCCTTGCCGGCATGATGGATGTGCTGTTGTCCGATACCCGACACTGGGTAACCCGCAGCCGTCGCGTAGCCACCGTAGCGGTACTGATCGTAGTAGCCGGGCGCGGCACCCACGGCGGGGTACGACGGCGTACCCATGCCTACCGGCACCGCCGTCGGGTGCCGATAATAGGCGTTCTGCTCGCCGAAGAGCGTATGCATCTTTGTCTCTTCGATCGTGGTGACCACTCGAGCGGGGGAGGCGGGGTATACCTTCACGTGGAGCAGAGTCGAAGGAACGAATCAACGACACATTGGAAGGGCGACTTCTGGCAGGGAATGCAGTAGTCTCGAACGATATTTCGGGGAACGCACACTTTGGACCTTGTTTTCCTTTTTCATGCGATTGATAAAGGATGGTGCTGAATTTTTCCGACACTCAAAACAGGCCTGCTTACTTTCAGTCAATCGGACTTTTCGATGAATTCGAGCGAATCAACCAAGGTAAGAGTCACACGTTACACTCGCAACACTCGGAGCACGCGCACTCGTCACTGCATCGCCACGAGAGTTCACGGGATCCAGGATATTCGAATCGATCGAGATCCTCTCTGCGATCACACCCGGTTGGTCCTCCGAAAAACACCGCGTCGTCTCTCTCTCATCGGCGCACCTCGCGAGCGAGCGAGCGAGCGAGCGCGCGCGCGCGTACCTGCCGCTCCGACGTATTTTGTTGACCGTATCCCAGGGATACTTCGGTTAGGATAGTCTTCGCGGACTAACGCAGACGCGGAAGACGCGGATGCGAGGCACGGATGCGGCCAAGGCGCAGGAGGCGAAGAAGAAGGTGCATTCAGTGATCGGTGCGAGTCGGTCGCGCGACGCACGCTAACCCCGTAAACCCGCGTGCACGCGTATTATGATACACAACAGGCCGGAGTTTACTCAACCCCGAGTAAAAACACACTGGGAGCTCGGCGTCGCGCGCGCGACCGAGTGCTCGGCGCGGCCGAGGAACGGCTGCGCCGGGCGCGCTTTCGAAAAATCACGAGGTTCTCGTGCGTAGCGTCGCACTATTGGTCGCGGCTCTTGCCGCGGTTCCACCCATGGAACACAATCTATCCTTACGACGTGGAGAACGCGGTGGCGACCGTCCGCCCCGGATACGAGCCCGCCAATGATCGCGCCGTGCTCTCCCGGGCCTTTCACGCCCTCGGCACTCGTCGCGCAGGGTCGACTCGAAGCGGGAGAATCGAGATTACGAGCACGCGGCGACGCGGAATTTTTCCGCAGCCATCGGCCGTCGGATACTTTTCGCGACACCAGCGGACAACGAGCTCGAGGATTAAGGAAGTCGAGAGAGCGCAGTGATAGTTGCAATGCGCGTGGTGCCTCCAACCGAGGTCGGAAGTGTCGATGTTTAGGGTGACAGTGACGTCACGAGAATCATCTCGTGGACGGTCGTGCGATGGTCGAGATGTCACAATTTCGCCGACTTCTCGGCGAGGAGGGATTGGGGATTCTCTCTCGTGCGAGAGACGGACGGAATCCTTTGATCCTTTGACGAGACATCTTAGATTTTATTTGGAGAAAGAGAGAGCGAGAGAGAGAGAGAGAGAGAGAGAGAGAGAGAGAGAGAGAGAGAGAGAGAGAGAGAGAGAGAGAGAGAGAGAGAGAGAGAGAGAGAGAGAGAGAGAGAGAGAGAGAGAGAGAGAGAGAGAGAGAGAGAGAGAGAGAGAGAGAGAGAGAGAGAGATTGACGTTATCTGTGAAACTCGTTGATTGTGAAGCATCTTCCACATGTCATTGTTACGCGTTGCAAAATAGTGCCTAAAAAATTCGCTCGTCTACCTCTGTCTCTCGCATTTTCCTCTGTTCTCTAGCCCGTGCATTTGCGCGTTGCTTACTTTATGTTTTACGAAGCTTTACGGCGAGCTCGCGGTCGCCGCTGCCGCTCTCTCGTGCCTCTTATCTACTTCGTCGAATAACTAATTCCGTCGTACGGTTCGCCAACTTTCGCGACTCGAATATTCGCGAGAGTCGTCGTACGATAACGTCGTCACGTGGATAGGACGGAAAAGAGCCCGCCTCGCGTTCTTACAGACGACACTTTCAATTTAGCGTCTGTTTTTTCAAGGGTTCGACTCCCGCCTTGCGAAAACACTCGACGGAACGCGTCACCACCCACCCCTGGCGGCCGTCAACTTTCCACCTCTGTCGGAGAGTCGCGCTCCTCTATCCAGGTTCTACAAATACCTCGGATCGTCCGGATACTCCACTTTTCGTCAATTAAATCGATCCCGACGCGGAGCCCCGACATCAAGATCGAGTTGGCCGCGAATTTGGCAAATCATCGCGAAAGAGGTATGACCGAACAACTCTCTCTCTCTCTCTCTCTCTCTCTCTCTCTCTCTTTCTTCATGTTCACGTCTGAAAACGGCACATCTCATGTTCTCGCGGCCGCTATCCCTCATTACAATTTGCGTAAACGTACCTAGACTCGCGCGATCGCTGGTAGCGTATTTTCTCTAACCACGTGCGGTGTCAAATTGATCGTCGCTCCTATCCTATCCTACCCCCTTGTCTAGGATCAGGCGGTTAATTTTCATTTAAATGGAACGACAAGCGCGAACGCTCTAGGCATTTCAGCCCCAGATCCACGATCTCTTCCCCCATCCTTCTCTGTACCTCGACGCTCCGGGCTAAACTATCGCAAAACCAAGATGCGCGAAGCGCTTTGCAAGTTACGGCGAAAGTTTAATTGTCTTTTGCCCGCGTACTCTCTGGGTACTCTCTAGGTCCCCCCCCCCGAAACGTGCTACCGATGCAATATATAATCCCTCCGCGATCAGACCGATTTTGTATCATATTAACTTATAAATACCCGCCAGGGCTTCTTATATCTGGAGAATTTAAATTAACACAGTGTCAAAGAGATGAAATCAGGGAGAGGGAATCAGTTTTTACTACATGATAACCCATGTAGGGACTAGTCAGTAGTAACGACGAAGCTAACGCTTGGCCGAAGTTATGGCACCCAACTATCGGCCAGAATTCTGTCAGCCAGTACTCGTCGTCCAATGCTAGCAAATGACTGGCTGCCGAAGGCCAACGCTTGGCCGACGCTTGGCGACTAACCGTCGGCCGGACTTCTGTCAGCCAGTATTTAGCCATTACTGGCAAATAGAATAGTACTTAGAATAGTACTTGTTAGTGGCAGTCATTAATTATTTTTTTCGCTAGAATTCGTTTTATCACATATGTTTTATACTTCTTACATACCATTTTTTCGGAGAAAAAAGTTTCTTTAAATTTTATATTCTTGTTCAATTTTGGTTTATTTCAGTAAAATATTATATTCTTAAACGAAATATCATTTTTTAAAATTATGAAAATAAAAAACTTTTATTTCCAAGGAAACCATGTCGTTTGATGAAACAACACTATTGTTTTAAATAGTATTCTTTACAAGTTTCTTTCAAAATTTAGTAATTCGATTTGTTTGATTGGATTTTCTTGGATCTTTTTTTTTAGATTAATCAATAAAACATTCTGCTAAAAATCTAAAAATAATTATCACTGCTTCACAACATTATATACATTACGTCAATCATATCCACAACATTATATCCAATACATCAATATCCATTGCATATCGAATGTTGTTGCATTGCTTTAATATCTATTAATAAATTATCTAACAAACACTAAATAAAAGTTATATAACTGTTATTTGGTGTTTGCTAGGTATGTTATATTGTGAACACTATAAGAATACATTATATAAGCATAAGTCGTAAGAACATCGTTGGAGTCATTGGAATCACCGCCGCGGGCCGCTCGATCGTTAGGTTTAAGCAACACTTTTTAACGCTTTGAGTCAGGACATGGATAGATGACCGGTATTACCGCTTGAAATCAAAATTATCGAGGGAGGATTCGCGAAAGTTTGGAACGTATTGTTAACAATCTTTGGTCCCTAGCGATTTATGAGAAAATTAAAAATTATAAATGTATTTTTGTATAATATTATGATTTTTTACCTATGCAAAATAATTTTCAATATTTTATTACTATCAATATTTAACAGTAATTTTATTATCAGTATTTACCAGAAATTAAATACTGGCCAAAAAATTACTAAAAATTACTAAATTACTGAATTGGTAGTACTTAATCATTAATAATTTTTCAATATTTCTTAGTATGATATTTTTGTAAGGGCAGTACTGTGACGGTATTACAAATCTAACGACCAGTACTGTCTAAGTGTACTGAACCAATTGTACTGCCAATGCTGAGGAAGTGCTGGCTGGCTAACAACCATTTTCCAGTTCCTGGGCCAATAGTTATCATCCGGTATTGACACCGGCAGTACTGCGCCAATAGTTTTTCCATTGCTGCGCCAGTACCGGAACTCCAACCAGTATTGGCCCAGTACTGGGCCGATTGTAAAACCCTACATGGGAGCTTATATTTTCCGCAGAATCCAAAATTGTACTCTCCTCACTTTTGTTGTACTGTATACGAAATATTTCACACGAATAAGTTTACGGCTTATTGATACGATACAATACATAGATACAATAGCAAAAATCGATGGGGAAAATTGGTAAACATCCGAGACGCGAGCGTTTGTCCGGATCGTCGTAAAGAATAAAGAGAGAAGCGCGACATGATACGTCCAAAGCGCTGATGATATTTACCAAAGCCAGATTTACGTGATGGATGTTACACTTGATAAGATCGTCTCGCGAAACGAAATTTGTTCGTAATCGGGATCAGCGTCGATTCGACTACGGCGTACAAGAGCGATTTGCATATTTGTTGTTGCCCCAAGGGCAAAATCGATAAAACGGGCGAAACTGAAATTAATTATCGATATAATTAATGATTTTAGCATATTCGCTACGATTTAAACGACCGTATTACAAGGTACGGATGCACGTTTTACACCACGGAAAAGAAATTCGACAGCCTTTATGTATCAGTTAAATCTCGTTGTAACATACGGCTGTAAACGTATAGCTGCCAGTAGACATATTAGTTTTAGCAACAAATATATTCTCAGCCAATCATGATTAGCCGCGACAGTGAAATCTTCTTTTTTTCTTTGTATGTAATCAAAAAAACGTCCATGAAGATTTCATCGTTTCAATGTAACATTGCGCGCACACGATTTTTGTATAATTTAAAGCGCGTGATTTTTAGACGATAACATTTGATATTTTGTCTCGTACCGACGACGACGACGACGACGACGACGACGACGACGACAGCGGCGGGCGCTGCAAATATTTTCCCAAAGTGCACTGTAAATGTGTTTAGAAAATATTGAAACTTTTGAAAATAAACGTCGCCTCTTGACCTATCTCACGCGACCGGATTCTCGACGATATGAACATCCGCGTGCCCCTCCAAGAGTTCTTCTTTCCCATCCAGAAACAATAAACCTCTTATTTCGCGTCACGCGGTGTCGTCGTATCGGCCGGTCTCGACGTATTCCGCGAGCCGTCGTCGCCACCCGCCGTCACTTTCGCAAAAGAAAGTGTGCGATGACGCACACGAGGTGTTATAAATAGCGTCGGGTAACGTTATCGGTATTTTACGTGAATAATTGGCGTCTGCTCTCGAATTGGTCGGCGTTTATTATCTCGCGCGCGCGCTGCATTCACTGGAATCGTGCATCGTCGCTCCGACACTTTCCGCGTTCTCCCGCGGAAACTGAAGCGTCTTTTGCGAATTTTTCGTCCCGATTGAATTTTTAAACGAAGCAATGAGTCGGCGAGTTGTCTCGCGCGAAGGTTCCAGCCGAAGAAGAGGCGCATCGCTCTTGCGATCCGATTAACTCGGGGGAGAACACTCGCGCACGTTCGGGAATTCCGTATGTTTCTCGTCTCTCGGTTACGGCGCCGATGTTTACACAGTGCGGTGAAATTTAATTCCCGAGACCTTCGAACTCACGAACCCCGAGCGTAAACCAATACTCGCGCTCGACGTTGAAAATGGCGCCGCCGTGGGTGTTAGGAGTATCCCTTCCGAGCTGAGGAAGGTGCAGCGAGAATACGGGGTTTCCGTCTTTTCAAAAGGCGGAATTTTCAAAAGACGTCCTCGCAACCCTTAATCACTAGGCGGGGCTTCATCGGCGTCAATCTCATTCTCTCTCTCTCTCTCTCTCTCTCTCTCTCTCTCTCTCTCTCTCTCTGTCTCTCTCTCTCTTTCTCTCTCTCTTTAAAATTTACTGACTTTATAGCCGATTTTCGGCCGATTTTTTCCGTAAAAACGTGTTTCTTTTTTTAAACTGACGCCATTTTTAACAAAATCAATATTTTGAAAAGTTCTACGGGCGTTCACTAGATTTTTTGATATAATTTCAAAATCTTTTTTCTTTTTTATTCTAGATGCACAATTGCGACCTATAGGTTTACGGCCAGGGAGGTCATAAAAAAAAAGATGTTTCATTCCGATAGATGTTGTGCTGCCATCTTGTTTTTAAATGACTTAAAAAAAATTTTTTTATATACTATAAGAGATAATGATGTTTAAAAAACTGAATTTCAATAAATTGTTTTGCCTTTCCACAATAA